CAAAGTATTATGTTACGGTGCAGAGCCAAGGAAGAGGAAGTATTTAAATCATAGAATCATAAAATATCAGGGTTGGAAGGGACCTCAGGAGGTCAACTAGTCCAACCCCCTGCTCAAAGCAGGACTAATTCCCAACTAAATCATCCCAGCCAGGGCTTTGTCAAGCCTAACCTTAAAAACCTCTAAGGAAGGAGATTTCACCACCTCCCTAGGTAACCCATTCCAGTGCTTCAGCACCCTCCTAGTGAAAAAGTTTTTCCTAATATCCAACCTAAACCTCCCCAACTGCAACTTGAGACCATTACTCCTTGTTCTGTCATCAGGTACCACTGAGAACAGTCTAGATCCATCCTCTTTGGACCCCCCTTTCAGGTAGTTGAAAGCAGCTATCAAATCCCCCCTCATTCTTCTCTTCTGCAGACTAAACAATCCCAGTTCCCTCAGCTTCTCCTCATAAGTCATATGCTCCAGCCCCCTAATCATTTTTGTTGCCCTCCGCTGGACTCTTCCCAATTTTTCCACATCCTTCTTGTAGTGCGGGGCCCAAAACTGGACACAGTACTCCAGATGAGGCCTCACCAATGTCGAATAGAGTAGAATGATCACGTCCCTCGATCTGCTGACAATGCCCCTACTTATACAGCCCAAAATGCCGTTAGCCTTCTTGGCAACAAGGGCACACTATTGACTCATATCCAGCTTCTTGTCCACTGTAACCCCTAGGTCCTTTTCTGCAGAACTGCTTCTGCCATTCGGTCCCTAGTCTGTAACAGTACATGGGATTCTTCTGTCCTAAGTGCAGGACTCTGGACTTGTCCTTGTTGAATCTCATCAGCTTTCTTTTGGCCCAGTCCTCTAATTTGTCTAATCAGGATCTGGACAAGTTTTGAGTACAGGTTTGGGGGTGAAACCCAGACTCTGTTTCAACTGTGCTCAGACTGTGTGAGCTCTTCTCATGATATTTTGGCTCAAAAAGGTAGGAGTCTTGAATGATCAATAAATAAATCCATTTCCCTCCACTCCCTATTTTCCCCCGCCCCCCAAAAAACCAACAACACAAAAATCACTTTCTCACTTGAAATGATAAAAATAAAAATGTATACGGAAAGCTGTCCATCCTATGATCTGAATGAGGCAGGAATCCTGACTTGGGGGCAGGAGGGGGAAGAGGATGTGATAAGTAATTAACAACAGTGTTATAATCCATATACACAAGAGGAGGCCAAATCAAGATTTTATGGACAACCTGAGTTCCAACAGTGCCTAATTTTTGAGAGCTTGACTTTACAACCTTAAATCTTTTAACCTAGCTCTATTGTGATAATATATATTTGCAGGTCACAAGGTAAAGAGTGAGGGATGGGGAGAGTGCACCCAAATAATTCAAGGATGAGTCAGGAATTGTTATGATTATGACTCAGTAAATATACAGGAATTCAGCAGCTGGAAAGAATATGGTTGACTAATCCTTTGTGAAGAAGGGAAAAACTACAGCTGCCTACCCCTCGATTCATGGATTGTCAGGAAAATAAGGCTGGCCACAGCTGTGGTAAATTATGTCATCCGGCCAGGGCATAAGAGGAACGTGCTTTGAGGCCTCTTAGCTAACCTGCACTAGGAAGTTCTCTAGGTGTTGAGAGAAGTGTGTTAGTTGAAGGAACCCCCATTGGTGAAGTTTGACTATAAGAAGCAATCATGTGATTAAGACCAAGGGGCAAAGGGAAGCTCTCCTTGCTCTTTAAAAGAAAAGAAAAAACAAAGCAAAACAAAAATCGTCTCAATCCTTCATGATTGTGAGACTTATGTTTTTCAGAACTCTTTATAACATGCATAATTCTGTCGCTTACCTGTTTTGTTACAATTGTATATATGCCTTCTAACATTCACTGCTGTGATACATACATTTTAAGGTGATTTGGAAGTGAAGAACTTGCAGCAACTGTGAAAGAATAGGAGTTAAAGAAAAGACAGGCTTTCACTGACTAAACTTCTCCATAACAGGTTCACAAAGTGAATCAAATTCCAAGTCACCATTGGAGTCTCTGCCTTTCACAATGCTGGAGGAAGAAGTTGTGATTGTAATGTCACACAATTAATATCTCTGCTCATAAGAAGTGATGGGTAAACCTCAGTGTTTTGAGTTGGATAAGTATCCACTTATTCAGCAGCTTATCCAAATGTGTTTGGTCTTGAACTCATGAGAACAGACTTGCTAGTGAAATTTGAGACTTGTTTGATCCTTCAAGCAGATCTACGTTGGTTCTTACTTTTGTGTGGATCAGTTCACCCATCTTTACTCATAAGATATCTTAAAAGTTGCCCTGTTAATTGTACCAGGAAATGAACATTGTTTTTAAATGTAAAATTAGTAATTTTCTCTGATGTATTTTGTTATGGGTTGGATGAATGGATCTACCTACACATTCACTCAATGGCTTACCCTTTTTTTATTCCTGTAAAGTTCAAAATCTATAATCTCATCATTTTATGGTCACATTAGAAATAGTATTTTTAGAACACAAATTGCCTTCATTTAATTTTAAGTCGCATATAAAAACTGAGGCATTTTTCTGTTGAAAGAGAGAGGCAAGTTTGAACATTGAATAGGATCATAAATGACATTAAAAAATAGAGGATGTAAAAATGGAAGAAGATTTCTGTATTTACTTCTACAGTTATTAAAGCAAAAGATTAGAAGTTAATGTAGTGAATGCATGTGCCCTGACATTCTGAGTCAGTTTCCTAAATTGGCATATGTTGAGAATAATTTTAGTCTAAAATGTAGACTAAAATTATTCTAATACAAAATTTGTGTTTTGTAATTTTTTTTATGTCCAGTCTACTGCTTGGGCTAAGTGAATTATCTGTTTTTGTTGACCATGTCTTTGTATTTTCCCTTTTATATAGTTATGAAGAATCAAAACCACTCAGACTGGCAGTAAAAATGATAGACATTCTTTGATAGGGCAGGGTTTTGGGGTTTTTTTGCGCTATTATTGGTAGAGGGAGTTTGGGATGTGGGGGAGGGGTAACCTTTACATGAACAGCTCTGACACCTCATTGATTTGTAATAGAACCTTGACTCCTGGGACATATATGGGATCTAAAGACTATGCCTTTTGGTAGACTAGTGACAATCCATTTTGATTTGGTAGTGTTATAAAGGTTTAAAGTATGGTCTTTGTGTAACCCACACACCACCTGGATGTGGTGTTCTGTCCCCTCTAATGGCACCGAGACCACTTAAAGAGAGAGATTAATGAGTCTTCTCCCCAAACCTTAGCTAACAGCCATATGGCTTTTAGCTCATGCATTTGCCTCCAGAGGTCCCAGATTTGATCCTGTCCACTGATGACCAGGGTCTGTTGGCGTTACAAGTGGGGGCTCGTCCGGGATTTCAACTGGGAAGTCTTGGAAGCTTGGGACACGCTTCTTCAGCTAGGGGAAGTATGTAACCCACATACCTCTGGTGTGGTGTTCTGTCCCATATAGTGGCACCAAGACCACTTATAGTTTAATGAGTCTGCTATACAGCCTTAGCTAAGAGGCATATGACTTTTAGCTCATGCAGTAGAAGCTCATGCATTTAGCTTCACAGGTTCCAGGTTCAATCCTACCTCATTCACCATGTATTGTCCAACCTGAGCACTGAATGATGGAAGGGTCCTGAAGAAAAATTCTGAACAAATAATTAAACACTATAGTAACTCTTATGCCAAAAGGGACAGACTTAAGGTTGCCTGGGAAAGTTTGGCACTTATTGACTGAGTGATTTATTTTGTAACCTTGATGTTCTTAAAATGCATGCTTTTCTATGGAATACAATATATGTAAGATGATGCATACTGTGACAGACCCAGACCAGTGGGGTACAGGAGTCTGGTAGAGGGCAAATATACTGGTCACTGGATGAGTAGTTTTCTGTTCCCTGAGTGACCAGAGCAGGGGCTGCATTAGAGTAATCAGGAAGCTTCTAGAGTCAATTAAGGCAGGCTAATCAGGGCATCTGGGTTTTAAAAAGGAGCTCACTTCAGTTTCTGGTGTGAGTGTGAGGAGCTGGGAGCAAGAGGCGCAAGGAGCTGAGAGTGAGAGGGTGTGCTGCTGGAGGACTGAGGAGCACAAGTGTTATCAGACACCAGGAGGAAGGTCCTGTGGTGAGAATAAGGAAGGTGTTTGGAGGAGGCCATGGGGAAGTAGCCCAGGGAGTTGTAGCTGTCATGCAGCTATTACAGGAGGCACTATAGACAGCTGTAGTCCACAGGGCTCTGGATTGTAACCCGGAGTAGAGGGCGGGCCTGGGTTCCCCCCAAACCTCCCAATTGACCTGGACTGTGGGTTCTCCCAGAGGGGAAGGTCTCTGGGCTGTTCCCCAACCCACATGGTGAATCTCTGAGGTAAGAAAATCCGCCAATAAGCGCAGGACCCACCAAGATAGAGGAGGAACTTTGTCACAATACCTGATAAAACAGTGAGAATGTCACTTGTAAAATTTTGTTCTAAGCCAAAGCATGACACTATTTTTCTTTTTCCATATGAATGACTTACCTTTCAAAAATGACTTTCTGTGACACACTCATCTATGAAGAAGCCAATAAAACTGTATTTGAGCCAAGCACATATGGTCTATTTTCTTTTCTACATTTTTTTTCCTCCTAGTTTCCCATATTTTCCACATACTACTGAAACTTGTAGCCTGACTTAGTTATAATCACATCTGTTCCTCCATTAGTCACTTTATAATCCATGATAATAAGAAAAAGAATGCTTTATATCAAAGAGCAGCAAATAGCTAAAAATCACATGGGTACTAAAAGCCTAGCTCAAACAAATTGGTATAGTTGAATTTGGCTCAATGCATTTTTTTTTCTTTAACACAGTTCAGTGGCTGTAATATGATGTTTTTGGAAACCTATTCAGATAATCTTCATAGAATAAAATCTATCAAATGATGATTTTTCATTTTCTTACATTTATTTTGTCCTCCCCCCCCCCGCCCCCAGATGACACGAGAACAGTATATACTGGCAACACAGCAGAATAGCCTGCCAAGGATTGAAAATCCGCAACTTTATCCAGTGGGAATTTATGGATGGCGAAAGAGGTGCTTATACTTCTTTGTCCTTCTGCTGTTGGTTACCATGATTGTTAACTTAGCAATGACAATATGGATTTTGAAGGTTATGAATTTCACAGTGGTAAGTACCACCATGGTTTTACATCTCTTGATCTTCATGTTAATAGCTTGTCCTTTTTTCAGTGCACATTCATTTATTCTTTAATGTGAAAGTTATTTTTAATGAGAGATTCTACTAAACTATCAGCATACACATTGCACATACACTATGGAACATTATAGATTAATTGCTTAATTAAAAATGGAAGGTTACAATTTTTTGGTTTGTTTATTGATACTGGAAATTAGGAAAAATGACTTGTCAGTTTACATCATGTGAATCTGGAGAATGGGCATTTTAACAACTAATTGGCTTTATTATTCATGTTAATATGTCAAGGTGGTGGTTGTTTTTTTTTTATGGATCATATCACTCTACTGTATTACAACATATCACTCTACTGTAGGAAGACTTAGTGACTTCCTTGTCTCTGTAAATCTATGGAACTGCTTATGTATATATAAATATTTTAAATGTGTTTACAGACTTTGCTTGAGATGATGCAACATTCTTATTCAGATGATAAGCCAAATTCAGGGGATGTTAAAAATACAGCTAAAGGATATTTAAATCAGTTATAAAGATGTATTTAAAATGCATAAGAATTCCTCTGCTTGTCTTGATGATACATTGTACCATACTGAAGCCAGGGCAGAAAAGGCCATACTGGTGAAATATTCGAAACAAAAACCTTTGTTCCTGGGACTTATTTGGCTTTCAGGACTACAGCCTACCACAGAACTACCTAATTTAGAATTTTAAGTATTGGAAAACTAAAATACCTTAATTACAGCTGTACAAAAATGAAATGTCAAAACACTGTTCTTTCTATGCCTAATGTAAAATGATCAGTGGAACTGGAGTCATGAGTCATAGGGGGCATGTTCCTTGGAGGAACCGCTGTTGATGGGAAACCAAGGGAACGGGGAAGGAGGGGAATTATGTTGGAAGCCACTCAGCCAGTTGGACACAGGGTTTATAAAGTTCCAGTTGTTCAATTCTTTGCAAATAAAATCTGGTGGCAAAGTCTGATCAGGGAGCAGCTGGCAGAATGAGTCATGTAACTTGGTCTGGATTTTGCAGACACAAACCTAGTCCAGTGATGTGCCTGGTGGAAGGAGGAGTTTGAGCTGTACACAGACCTTGCCATGCAGGAGGACAGCAACAACAGGAAATTAAAACTATTAGTTTACCTTATTGGGGAACAAGGCAGAGAGATCTGCACCGCTGTGAACCACACTGCCTCAAGCCCCCCAGCAATCTTAGGAGCCCCAGGGACTTATTGCTCCCCAAAGCAGGACAAAACTGTGGAGTGACACAGGCTTTTCACTAGAGAACATTCTAAAGTGGAGGGATAGACTCCACGTTACTGCCTTACAAACACTAGCTGCTACATGCAATGTTTGAGTCTTGACAGACTCCCTAATTTGGGACAGGATAGTCTGTGGCACTTGGGATCATCCTCTCTAGGAGCACCTGCTCTGGGAAGGCAATCTCACATTAAACAGATGCTTAGGCATGTGGCATGTAGTGGAAGCCTTGAGGGGAAAGATGAAATCCCTAGAAAGTGCATCACATCCCCAGAACTACATGTGGGGTGAGGCAACAGGAAAGGAAAGCAGTTGGCTTCCATAAACATAGCAAGATGTTTTTCCTGTGTGAGACATCATGAGCAGGTAAAGGAGAAGGTGCCCCAAAGTAGGACAGCATTACAAGGAATGTGGCAAGGTTGAACCATCTTGTGCAAGAGGGGAGATATGATTGCTCTCTTTAAATATATCAGAGGGATAGATACCATGGAGGGAGAGAAATTATTTAAGCTCAGTACCAATGTGGACACAAGAACAAATGGATATAAACTGGCCATCAGGAAATTTAGACTTGAAATTAGATGAAGGTTTCTAACCATCAGAGGAGTGAAGTTCTGGAATAGCCTTCCAAGGGGAGCAGTGGAGGCAAAAGACATATCTGGCTTCAAGACTAAGCTTGATACGTTTATGGAGGGGATGGTATGATAGGATCGCCTAATTTTGGCAATTAATTGATCTTTGACTGTTACCGGTAAATATGCCCAATGACCTGTGATGGGACACTAGATAGGGTGGGATCTGAGTTACTACAGAGAATTATTTCCTGGGTGTCTGGCTGGTGAGTCTCTCCCACATGCTCAGGGTTTAGCTGATTGCCATATCTGGGGTCGGGAAGGAATTTTCCTCCAGGGCAGATTGGCAGAGGCCCTGGGTTTTTTTCACCTTCCTCTGCAGTGTGGGGCATGGGTCACTTGCTGGAGGATTCTCTGCACCTTGAAGTCTTTAAACCACAAGTTGAGGACTTCAATAGCTCAGACATAGATCAGGGGTTTGTTACAGGAGTGGGTGGGTGAGATCCTGTGGCCTGTGTTGTGCAGGAGGTCAGACTAGATGATCATATGGTCCTTTCTGACCTTAAAGTCTATGGGCAGAGGAAGGTCTTGGAAAGATTGTCAGATTTGTACAAGAGGGGGATGGCACATCAGACAGCGGTGGTAACATGGTGAGACTCTCCTGGGCTCTGAGAGAATATCAGTTCAAGCTGTCAGGACAAGAAAGTAACAAGGGATGGTACCATCCTCCATGCATGGAACCATATTAATTGGAACTCGCCTTTTGTGATTTCAGCTGAATACTGAGGCCTCCTGCACAGTGATTTCTTGGGATGAGTTGGACTTGAACACACCCATTACAAAGAGCAGTCACAATGTAAAATGAGAACACAGTGGAACCCAAAGGAAAATGTGACCTCATAGTAACTAATCTGAGAAGTAACAGATGGTACCAACTGAAGTTTGCGGTGGTGGATGGTAAGCACCCCAGACCTCACTTGGGAATACAGCCATACAAATCATGGATCCGATCCGGTAGTAAATATGCAAACAGAGAGACTATGGCACTATGTAGTCCAGTGGGCCAAGGAGTTCAAAAATGTGTAGCCCAGGAGTATTATAGGGCCTCTAGAGGATAGTGCAGCCTAGTGGTGGTAAAGATGTCATCAGGTATGTTGTTCATCTGCATAGACCCAAAGCCACTGAAACCGGCATTGAAAATATCACTGCCCACAATAGATGAAATCTTGCTAGAACTTTCCTAATCCAGAATCTGTATGGTCTGTGATGTAATGAATGGGTTTTGACCCATAAGCCTGGTTAAAGAGTCAGTATGCTGACTACCTGTGCAACATTATTTGGTCGCGACAGATAGCTATGCATGCTGATGAATATAAGCCCAGTGCCAGAGGTGTTCCAGAGAAGACTCATCAAGTGCTGTAAGAAAAAAATTGCAGATGATATCCTCATTGTAGGTGAAAGAAGCCATGATACAGAAGCTGAATGAGACCCATGACAGGAAATGACAAGTTTTTCTACAGCGATGCAGGGACAGGAACATAAAACTGAATGCAGATAAAATGTGACTCAAACAGCATGAGGTGACATACATTGAACATCTGCTCACATCAGAGGGATGGAGAGCTGATCCCATCAAAATGAAGACAATCAGACATTCCAGCTCTAGCAGATCTGAAAGGGGTACATAGGTGCTGGAATTACGGGTGCTGAGTGTACTGCACCCCCTGGCTTCAAGTGGTTTTCATCATATACAGGATTTACAGTTTGGTTCAATGGCTCTCAGCACCCCTTATACAATTTGTTCCAGCACTCCTGAAGGGGTACAGCACTTTATAGGAATGATATATTTTCTGTCCACACTTCTCTGCAATAGAGGAACCCATATGTCAGCTCCTGTACAAGTGTCTGTCAGCTCACAAGGCAGGATGTTGAGAGGGACTGGGCAGGTCCCTAACAGTAACCATTTGACATGCTGAAACAAATGATAATGGATGCCCCTGTCCTGAAGTACTACCAGCCAGGAGAGACACTGCCACTCCAGTGTGATGCATCAGAGGATTGGGTGTCGCTCTTTTGCAGAAGCAGCCAGCAGACCCCTGTCAGAGACTGAACAAAATAGAAAAAGAGCTTCTGGCTATGATTTTGGAGTGGGGGTGGGTTCCATCAGTACACCTATAGCCAATAATAGTGCAGTAAGCTTAGACACCCCTAGAAACAATATAGAAAAAATGTCAAAGCCCCTTCTTGCAACATATGTTGGTGCAGCTCCAACACTACCAGGGAGATCAGATGTTGTATCCATATGTACCCAGCATCAGCGAGCTGGAGGAAGGGGATCAGGACATTGAATCCATGCTGCACTGTCTCCTGGTCTCAACACTGAAGCTGATGGAAATCAGAGGCTATGGAAAAGCCCAATTGCAAGCAGACAAAAGAATGATAAGAGTAGGATGGCCAGAAGACAAAAGCCAAGGTTCTGGTAGGAGCAGAACCATATTTTCAAATTAAAGATTAGTTGAGTGTTCAGGATAGAATCATATTTTGAGGACAGGAAGTTGTCTCCACCTCATTCCATAAGCATGTTGTGCAAAACATGCAGGCCTCACACCTTGGCATTGACAGCTGTCTTAGACAGGCTTGAGAGTATATTTACCAGCCAGGAATGAATACACATCTCTGCTCCTTGATACCAGGGTGTGATGCCTGCTGGTCATGTGATAACCACCAGCAGAAAGAGACTGTTACCACATGATCTGCCCACCAATGAATGGAGGCCTGCTGCAACCAGAAGGATGGAGAATCCACCAAGAGGAGATGGCCAACAATCCATGAAAGCAGGCAATATTGTATAGCAGGTTAGCAAAGAACCTACTGACCCCAAAGACGAATGCTCCTCACAACTCATAAGCCTACTCCTTCTGGTTTCTCTCTGTTGGCTAGATCCTCACAGGAGGAACTGGCTCTAGAGCCTCTGTCATTCACCTGTTGAGAAGACCAAACTATCTCAAAAACTATGCAACCACATGAGTCTATAGTAAAGATGAAACTCCAGCTTAGCTGTGTGCTAAAAACCTCTGGCAGAAGAGACAGAACCTGGAGTCTGGGTATCAATTATTTGTTTTTAATTTTATATTAAAAT